ATTCAGATAACTCGGAGTTTAAAGCATTGAATTTTTCTTCAGAAATTTTGGACGCAAATTGCAACGATTTAACCAAACTCAAATGACCAGCATTTTCAAGATAAACTTGGATACTTCTTTCTCTTAGCGTTTTTAGTTGATCTTCATGATTATTTAAACGCTCTTTTTCTGATTTTAACGCTTACTGGTAATTTTGAATATGGATTTTCATCTTATTAATCTGTTTAATACATGTTTGATGAATTACCTCATCATTCATCAACTCTTTCTCTTTATAACTCTCGATGTTCTTTTCCAGTTCAGCAATCTTAGCTCTCAACTCCTTTATGGTATCTACCATTTAAAAAAAAATTTGATCAGTTAAAGATCTATGCAGTGAAATCAGATAACAGAAATATGAACAGATAAGCTCAAAAAGAAAAGAAAAACACAAACAAAAACAGATATACAATGATCCAAAAAGAAAATCTAAACACAAACAAACTAAGAAACCAAAACAGTCCAAATATAATCCAAGTCCAAATACAATACAGATATTACACTTTTAAAAAAAATGATATATCTGCTCTCGAAAGTTCTATCCAAAAATCCACTTGTATGCTTCTCGTATGAATCCACTTCTCATAACTCTAAATTGGGCAACACCCTCGTATCAGACACTTCTTGTAACAGCTAACTCTGCATCATCTTCTGCAGACCATGCACTTTGTAGTTGCTGTTTCAAAGCTTCTTAAACAGTCTGCTGTCAACTGCTGTCAGCAAAGAACTAGCCTATTGAGTTCAGCCTGCAACTCCTCAAATAAAACACTGCACACTATCTAACCAGAAAGAATATAGCTCGAAGTAGAAGTATCAGTCAGCAACATAACCAGTTAATGAACAGACCTGTCTTGAGTTTAAATCAAAACAGTCCAAGTCTCAACAATTCAGATTAAATCAAAAACAGCAACTTAGAATTGAGAATTGGAGACAGTTCAATATCAAAACAGCAAGCTAATATCAACACAAACAGGTTCTGTAAACCTGTGAAGAAACTGTTGAAGAACTCTCAAATGTTGTTGCTGCTGCTGTTTAAACCTCAAATTCAAATCAACAATCAACATTGTGTAATATCCTGCTGCTGTCTTGCAATGCTATGGAGCTGCTGC